AGGTGATGGGACCAGTGGCCATGATCTTAGTTTTTTTGATGTTGAACTTCAGACCGTTTTTGCGCTCTCCTCTTTCACCCTCATTAAGAGGTTCTTTAATTCCTCCTCACTTTCTGCCATCAGAGTGGTTTCATCTGCATATCTGAGGTTATTGATATTCTTCCGGCAATCTTAATTCCAATTTAGGATTCCTTCAGTCCAGCCTTTCGCATGATGTATTCTGCATATAAGTTAAATAAGCAGGGGGACAATAAACAGCCTTGTCGTACTCCTTTCCCAATTTTGAATCAATCATTTGTTCCATATCCAGTTCTAACTGTTGCTTCCTGTCCCACATATAGATTTCTCAGGATAAGGTGGTCAGGCACTCCCATTTCTTTAAGTATCCCATTTCTCTGGATACTGTATGGCTATTCAATACGCACTGTGTATTGAATTTCTGTGATGGAAGAAATAAAAAGTGAGGGCTGCCATGCAGTATGTCAGATCCTCATAATTCACATATGCTGGTGTCTTCTGCCCATATTGCTCTTTTGCTCATTCTGACAACCGGCAGGAGCAACAGCATGCCCTGCATAAATCTGCAGCTTACACAGCAGGCTTCCTGTTGCAGTCACAGCAGTTGCTGAGAAGGGGCTGATAGTTATTGCGATTGCAACTAGGCGGAAAACTGTTTTCTCTACCACTGAAGTACTGGCAAAACTGCCTCTTAAAAAGCTGTTATTTTGACTGGAAGGAAACTGCATGCATGCATACATTGCATTCAAATCACATCTAGCATGATTCTGTTTTTGCATAAGTCTGGTCAGTAGCCACTGCTTGGACCTGTCTTCCATCAGGGTGTGTAATCCTTTTAAAATCCAGTGAAATGCTATTGTGTGCAACTAACTCACACAGTGAGGCAGATTTTTGTAAATTACACCACTTCTGAGCGCAGGCAAAGGAATCTTCCATTTCACCTCTTGCCCAATTTAAACACAATAAAAACAAATTAGCCATGCCTGCTTGCATAAACAAGTATGTATTTAGAAAATCAGCTGAAAATCCTACTTCAAAAGCTTTTGTTTCTATGTATGGGTTCAAAGATAAAAGCCCTCCCTTGCAGCTTGAAGCTACAGGTAGAGATGAGCTTTGGGGATCACAGACCTTGTTAAGTAAAGTGGCATTTGCCTCAACACAAAGTAACTTCTGTAATGTACATTACTAATAAGTCAGAATTGTGGAGTGTTAATTGAATTTTTAAGACAAGTTTAAATAAGAAAAGTAGCAGTACAATTCTATAAGCTCACTGTACTGTTCTTAGGAATTGATGTTGTATATAGTTGTATACTGTACTATTGTATATAGTCCCACAATAGTTGTCCAACTCTATACTAAAAGCAATCTTCATATAAGAATCAGAAAAAGTTCTCCATAGGCTAGGCAATTTAAATGTCATTAAAAATTCATGCAAACAAGAAATTGGAAAATAATTTAAAAATAAAATAACAAGGGCAATTCTATTAATAGCCTTTCATCCAACATGCAACATTTCTTGAAAGTATTGAACATATTGACACAATGACCAGTTAGTTATATGGCCTGAAGGGAAAATCCACATGTAGAACATTTTTCTGCCCATGAATTGAGAGCCACAAAAGTAAATCAGATGGACATCCAAATGCAAAAGTTTACTATCCATCCTGCCTTCCTTTGCATGGTATTAGTACTTGAGCATCCATCCTCTGGATAAATCAAGAAAAGACCACATGGTAATGGAAACAATATGAATATAGGAACAGGTGATAATCAACCATCAATCATTAGTTTTATATTCTTAATGGTAAATTAAAGGTATCCCGTTCCTGTATTTGTATCGTCCTCTGGATAGTAATCCACAATTTCCACATTCAGATATTCATCCAATTTATGCTTCCAGCTCCTCAGACATGCAGGAGCCATGCTTCCAGCTGAAGACCTCCTTCTCTGCATCAAACTGAAGGTATATACAGTATGTAGAATGAGAGATATAAGGGAAAAAAAAATCTAAATGCTATTACTACAGCATGTTAAAAAGGGGAATCTTACTGTATTAGAGGTCTTCATTATCACACTTGACCAAATGAAATCAGTCCAACAGTAAGCAGACTATGAACGCAAATCAAATTGAATTATCCATTCAGTTGTATCCAGCTCTTGGTGATTCCACAAGCCAGATCTCTGCATGATTTCCAATCTTTAACAGCTTCTTTCAGTTACTTTATACAGTATTTTGGGCAGTGTCTGCCTTGATTAAATCTAACCAATGCATTCTTTGGCGTCCTCATCATCTTTTACCACTGACCATTCCAAGCTACTTTGTTCAATAACGTTGATTGCATGACATGGACGAAATAACTTAAGTCTAAGTTTTGTTACTTTGCCTTCCAATGACATGCCCGGTTTTGTTAGCTTCAGCACTTGTTATCTTTGCAGTCCATGGAAAGCAGAAGCGCCTCCTCCAATACCATAGCTCAAAAGAATAAATTTTTCTTCTGTCCATCTTCTTCATTGAAGAGGAACACAAACTAATCTGCACTTGGTCATCAAGATGACATCCTTACTTTTCCGCCTAGAGTGGTCGTAATTGACCAGATAGGCGGGATATAAATAAATAAATTCCATATTTGATTCATACTCATCATTGCTGAGACCTAGCATGATTCAATGTTTTATTTCTTGGCTGCAATCGCCATTTTGATTGACCAGAGAACCTAAAAAGATGAATTATTCCACACATTGAAACTCCTCTCCATCAATTTCTATTTTGATGTTTCCAGTCCTTGCAGTTGTCATGAATTTGGTCTTTTTAATATTCAAAGAGGCCAAACTTCTCACATCTTTGAGTCTTATGATCAGGTACTTTTTTTTCCTTTCTTACTTGGTCCCCCTGCTTTTAATTGTTATTGGTAAGTTATGCTATGTACAATTTTGTGTGATTTTATTTGTTATTTACTCTTTGTTGGAAGCCGCCTAGAATGGTTATGGCACCAGATAGGCGGGGTATAAATTTAATAAATAAATAAATACTTTAAAGCTCCCTGGGATTCTGAGAGGAGGGTTGTATCATCCGCACATCAATGGTTACTGATGATTATTCCACCAATTTTTACCCCGGTTTTTTATTCTTCTAACTCCAGCTTCCTGATTATCACTTCAGCATACACACTGAATGAAAAAGTTGATAGCATGCAACCTTGCCACATGCCTTTCTCAGTCTTAAACTATGAATGTGCCATTCTCATCCATACTTTGTAGGCAGCTCAAGATGTTGCTACAGATCGAGAAGATGATTCTGTGATATTACGGCTCAGGTGGGCAAATTATAGCCATTAATCGTGTTCACAAGGATTAATGATCTGGCCTGCTTTCCTGATCTTCTGGCTCCACTGTGCCAAGTGCTTTAGAGTTCTTCCTTTAGCAGAGTGTGCAACTATCCTGCATGTCAGACTGTTATTATGCCAATTTTGCCAACCAAGAGTAGGGAGCACAAATTGTATAGAAGCACCACATTTAACTCATGGCAGAATGGAAATATGATAATCAGCCTAGCATGTCCAGTTCTTGAACAAGTGATGGATTGTTTTTAGATGCCAAGGATCATGTTAAGGTCAGTTCTCACATGAAAATTCACTACATGGGGACTAGTATGTCTGAATGAGTCATCACAGTTTCAATGCAACAGAAAAATTTTACATCACCCAATGTCAGCAGGAAATAAAATACTTTCCAATGTAGACAGTTTTATTCTCAACTGAAACTCATCAACTGGGTATGCATCCCAGTGTAACAAATAGCTGAATTGAGGAAGCAACTGCTAAACTTATGATGGAAAGATCTGTGAAGAACACAGAGATTTTTTAAAAGCATTTTATTAGTGAAATATGAAAATGCTTCCTTGAGAAGTAGTGAAGAATCAAGCCAAAACCCACAATCATCACCTCCATACACTGGGGAATTATTTTGATTCAGAGTCTTCATCCACTAACTCAACTAGTGGAGCATGTCTGTTGGCCTGGGATCCTTCTTGGTAAAGAACCTTCTTTATTAATCCTGCCTTCGGAGCACGTATGGTATGCTGTAGAGAAAGAAGGAGATCCTGAACTAGTCAACAGTTTTCCATTTGCATAGCACCAAGCTACTGCAATCATTCCAACAGATAAGAATATGTCCACTTCTTGGCAACACATCACCTACTCACAGTTATCTGCAGTATGAAACAAGGACAACTGGGAAGGAAAGCCTTGAATAAGAAATGTGGGTTATCTATTACACCGTGAGAAATGGGTGCTGTGGTGCTTCTCCCAAGCAGCCAGGGTATCATATCTGCTGGAGGAGAATGGCACCTAGACTTAATCACAATCTCACCTCCTACACCAGGGTGGCTAGTATCTGTAACTTGCAGAATGCTTGCTCATTCAACTATTCATTATCTGCATCTACCAGTTCTGAATTTTCCCCTTTCTGCCTCAATTCCCACTTTTAAGACTGGCTGGATCAAGTGCTTTTAAAGGCTATATATATATTTTATTCTCAACTGAAACTCATCAACTGGGTATGCATCCCAGTGTAACAAATAGCTGAATTGAGGAAGCAACTGCTAAACTTATGATGGAAAGATCTGTGAAGATATAATGTGGATTACAAGCAGGTATAGTATAATGTGGATTACAAGCAGGTATAGTAAAACTGTACAGCGTCAGGTTAGCTGCCTTTTGCACAGTATTACTACATTTAGACACTGGAAAAAATCTATTTCCATATGCTTGTGGAAGAGAAATAAAGTAATTGCAGAGGCAAATTGGCACTAATTAATAAGTCCTCATTTTGATTCCTGTTTGCATGCCAAGCCACCTGATGGCATGCTGTAAGGGTGTGTTAATTAGTAGAATGCAAGTTATGTCATTTCCTTCAACTGCATAACTACACAAAAGGATTCTGGCCATCAGAAAACAACAGTTAAATATGCAAGTTTAATTCAGCACTGATCACATAATCAAACTTCTCTTGCCAGAATTTGCAGTTCAGCCCTCAGATAAAGGACAAATTCCCAAGTTGGCAATAAAAGGAAATAATTGCTGTAGATTATAAAAGATGATCCCACACAGAGAGCAATGGGATATTTGCTCCTGGGAAACACTAGAATAGGTCATTACAAACAGAAACAGTCCATGCCAATTAAAAAACGGCATAATTTGCAAATATCTACTCAGCTAACTAATTATTTCCACAACATTTAAGGCATACTTTATAAAATATGCAAATAAAACAGCCTCAAACCCCCACAAGAGCACTAGGTTTTGTCTCCCATTCAATGAAAACAATACCTACCTCCATTTTCATAGCTATCATAACCATGAGCGGGTCTCCAGCCTGGACTTTATCTCCAGCTTTCACAAACACCTAACAAATTAAAAGCATGTGAGAACAGAAGCAGTGTGTTACACTCCAACTATACAAATATTACCCTGATAATAATGTTTCCTCCAGATGTGCAGACAGCAGAAAAGACAAAAGATTCATTGTGTGAAGCTAAAGAAAAGAAACATTTGCAGTTTCCCCATGGAGCTGGTTTCTCCAGCAGCAGGATAACACTTGACACCTAAAAAAAATATAAACCTGAAAATACAATTTGCACATGCAAACTGTATAGTTTCTAAGCGGAACACACTGATCACAGTCCTTGGCCAGTTGCAATTTTAAACATACAGGTGCAGGGTCAAGAAGTCCTGAGAGTCTGGACACATATGCACTGGTTGCTATACCACAAAATATCTACTACTTTTTCCCCTTAGTCCCTCAGCATTTCTCAAGTCCTGGTCACACAAGCCAAACCTAGTTTGTATCATCAATGTTGATCTCAAAATATATTAAATACAAATGTTGTATAGAGAAAGTAAAACAGCTGATTTTACCTGAGTCATGTACTGAGTGTATTCAAGTGTGGGTACCATAGTTAAGGACTTCATATCCCTGGTCACACAAGTCAAACCTAGTTTGTATCATCAGTGTTGATCTCAAAATGTATTAAATACAAATGTTGTATAGAGAAAGTAAAACAGCTGATTTTACCTGAGTCATGTACTGAGTGTATTCAAGTGTGGGTACCATAGTTAAGGACTTCATATTGAACAGCTGTTGTACATGATGTAACTTTATGTAAGTAGAAAACAAAGTAATGTATTTTCAGATTGGTCCCAAGAATATATATAACTCGTGTAAAAGGGAAATTTTATCTGCCATTAGTCATATCACTTTTTCTATGCTATGTATTGTACAGTGTTATGTTGCCAGATGAATTTCTATTCTCTCTGTATATATGTTAATAAACTAAGTTGGTATTTTACTCTCTCAGTGTTATAGTGTCTTTGCAACCTGATATCGCCTAACTCTGCTTATGTCATATCACTTTTTCTGTGCTACGTATTGTACCGTGTTATGTTGCCAGATGAATTTATAGTCTCTCTGTATATATGTTAATAAACTAAGTTGGTATTTAATTTATGTAAGGTTGAGCCACATTTTACGATCATGTTGTTCTTACCAGCATGGAATTTTTCTAAAAATACAAAGTGGATGTTTCCAGTACCTGGAGGTTCAGATATATTTCTAGAAATTCAGAAGGTGGATTTGTTACTGTCTTCCTCAAATGAGTGCCTTTCACATGTTGCCACCATCCCAGTTGGCATAAACATAGACTGGAGATGATAGCAGCTGTAGGCAAATATGAAAATATGTCCCAGGATTTCTGCAATACGCTGAGGGCCTTCAGAAGATGAGGTTAAGGAAGGCAGTGTTCCACACCAGTTGCTGGAAGTAAGCTAAGCTGAAGTCAACCAAGTACAATTGCACCATGTGTGAACAATCCCTTACAAAAAAATCCACACTTCTACTTTAATGCAAAAGAAAATAGGTGATGCGCCTACCCTCTCATTGAGAAAATGCCTTGTCCATTTCATACACAAATTATGAGAATTACCTTTTCTATTGTCCCTGTCATAGGAGCCACAGCGCCACCCTGCTCTCCTGTCCCACTCACTCCAGATAAGTATTTTGGCACTGGAAGACCAATCTGGTCCCTACCTTCCTATGGGGAAAAAAAATTAAACAAAAACTTATGAGTCTTAGAATTTCTACAAGTACTAGAATTTTCAAACAGCAGATGCTAATGAGAGAGGCATCCAATACTTTGGTTTAGCAAAGTACTTTATACATTGCATTCATCAGAGACACATTTTAATCTTGTTTTGCTGGGAAAACAACATCTGGTCTCCAACAATGCTCTGAGACTCCCGCTTAAGTAAAAAAAGGTTGCACTGTAATGAAGAAGTTGGTATATTACATTACTCTACATTTATTACCCAAGTCCACTTTGACTTATCTTCCAGTAGTAGACATCATCATCATCATCATCATCATAACAATGCTCTGAGACTCCCGCTTAAGTAAAAAAAGGTTGCACTGTAATGAAGAAGTTGGTATATTACATTACTCTACATTTATTACCCAAGTCCACTTTGACTTATCTTCCAGTAGTAGACATCATCATCATCATCATCATCATCATCATCATCATCATCATCATCATCATCATCATCATCATCATCATAATGGCAATACTAGAAATAACTATAGTAAATACGCTAATGACATCAGTCTATTCTAACATTTATTGAATATGATGAAAAGAATATGTAAGAATATAATGGATTAACAATTATTCCTCATAAATATATTTCAGATCCCTGTACAGGAAAGCTCACAGGACACTCTAATCATTGAGGATATTCTTTTAAGTATTGAAAATCTATATGCCTTCTCCCCATCTTAAGGATTTAAAGGAGAAGGATTTAACTTCTGTCAATCAATTTACTGATTGATTAGTTTTGTACTGGTTCACAAACCTCAAATAATTAAAGCCACACATTTGCAAAGATTACAACATACTTAAGATCAGCTCACCAGAAAGTAAAAGGGGAGGGGGGAGATCAATGTATTCAGTCCTTTCACTCCAAAATGCAAAGATATGGATTAAAGTTTCATTTTATTCATTCTCTTCCTTGAATATTTTATTCCCCAAAATACAGAATAGGAAGTATTACCGGCGAGAAGAGGTAAATAGCATCATCCAAAATGATCAGTTTGGATTTATGAACAACTCCATTTACTGAACATCTTATGTAATCTGAATCACCATCACTTGAAAGGCATCCAGAAACATGGTATGATTGATCTTGTATCTGAAATAGATTTTTATAGGTTTTTAAATCTCTGGTCCGTATGCTTGGGGTTGGACTTGACAGCTAATATCTACATGCTTTTCCAACTCAAGTATTCCATAATTCTATGATTCTATGCTACCTCTATGGGCTAGGATGGAGGGAAACATTACAAGAACTGGAAAGAGAAAAGCAAGTCTCATGTACACACACAAACAACACACATACTCCACACATACTCCAACACAGAGAAAAAAAACTTTCTCAATACATGCATACAGCTATCCCATAATATGCACACTGGTCAGACTTAGCATGAGACATATCTGCTCAGAAGATGCCTTTTAAAAAAAATGCAATTAGGCACCAAAATCCTACCAATAAATCCTACATATTCAAGCATACCCATTTATTCTGCCATACAACTGCATAAATCATCCACTCTTCTTGGAAAGAATTGTCCTACTTTGCTCAATGAGGTTTTCCCACTCCACAGAGATTGGAAATGAGCCAAATAAAGGCCACTAATGATTTACAAGGAGCTACATAAAGTATGTAGCTAAAATCATATTATGACAAAGCTCACCTGCATGTTATATGAACCATCATGATTGTATGTTATAGCTATATCAACACCTGTTTTGAAAAAGGAGGGAGGCATTACAATAGGACCACAAGTAAAGGCAACCCATATTGAATTTAAATCATTCTTTTAAGCCCTCCTCCAACCCTCAACCAACTCCACTGTCTCTCCTTCATCATTCTCTCCACTCTGCACAAGTGTCTGCTGCTTGAACTATGCAATCATTTTGCCACCTCTGCATCCTAGGCTTCTGCTGAAAATTGTCACACACTCTCTGTTAATCTCTCCAGATCTGAGACACTTTGTAGATGTTGAGAGTGGAAAGTACACTGGTACACATAGCGACGATAATCCGTGCAGCCAAAATCGTCGCTATACGGATTCGTCGCTATGCGAAATAAAAAAGCCCATAGGAATCCATTAATACCCGTTTAATGCGTTCCTATGGGCAAAAATCTCACCTTTATGCGAAAATCCTCCATACGGCTGCCATTTTCGCTGCCCGGTAAGCGAGGAATCTGGGCGAAAACACAGCGGATGGCCATTTTTTTTACCTGGCGGCCATTCTGGAACCGCCGATCAGCTGTTGGGAAATCATCGTTATGCGAAAATCGCTAAGCAAAACAGCTTACCAATCATCGCAAAGCGATTTTTTCCCATTAGAAACATCGCAATGCGATCGCAAAAAATCCATCGCTATGGGGATTCGTCATTAAACGGGGCGCCCGTTAAGCGAGGCACCACTGTAGTTGGAGAACAGCACTGCTTTCTACTTGATGCACATGTACTTCTCCTACCTTACAGTCGTCTATGATCAAACAGACCTGTCATACAAAAAGGGAGATATGTACATAGTGGAAGATTTTGTTCCTTCATCTAAATTAGTATGTTACTATTACTGCTGTGTCACAGACATGTTTTTCCTACAAAAACATCTTCCCAGCAAAGCCCTTCTGGAATCCTTTGTCTCTCCTGGTCCTCTATCATCATCCACCTCTAATATGTCTCTGTCCCTTCTAGTCACCATCAGCTATGGTTGGTTCCTCCTCCCTCTTTCTCTGTCCATCTAATGCAGAATGTAATGCTACATTTAGGATACAGTCAGTGCTACATACACATGCAGTAGTTAGACACCCTGCTTCCCTACATACTGAGCAAGCTGAGCAGTATTTTCACTGCTAAAAGCAAACAGAGACAATTGGACAACTTTTACGAAAGTGTTTTCACTGCTAAAAGCAGAGACAATTGGACAACTTTTACGAAAGTTTTAAGACAAACACAACCAAATAATTTTTTACAAATTGTTCTAATGTACATGAATAATGATGGTTTGGATTCCAAGTTAAATGCACATAGCAGGTCTGATAGTGGCAGACTTCCTCACTACCCTGCCTCATCTCTCTAAAAAATGCAGTAGAGATGATTGTAGGAACCTAATAAACAGGGCGGGCAGAGGCACTTTCTACCTGAAAAGCTTCCACTCACAGAATGTGTCTCTCTCCAATTTTGCATATCTTCGCTATAGCCTCCCTCCTTCACCAAGGTCCCAATTTTGCATATCTTTTAACTCCATTCGCTATAGCCTCCCTCCTTCACCAAGGTCCTCATACCCTTTGCACAGCATTTTCAGGAGAGCTGCTGTCAGAAGGAAAGGACACTGAGGTCCATTTCCACCAATCCGGTTATGCATACTTCGCTCTGGACCCAAACCAACAGAATTATGGGTAACAGCAATACTGCATGTCTCTGTATCCTCTTCAGGTATTACACACAACTGAATAAAAATGTTCACTCAAAATCTCTTTATCTGCAGTTACCAAGTCACTTACTATTTTTACCATCTAGAAGAGTCAGGTTCCTGACATAGGATATATTTATTCTTCTCCCACTGCTGGATGAAAATGGAGAGAACTTATCTGGAATATTTTTTAAAATGTGCAGAAGAAAAACGTAATTAATGCTTTGTTTTATACTTTACTACATAAAGCTTGAAATATTCATCCAAAACACATGCAGTCTGACCTAAAAATGAGCAAACGATGTCTGCACAAAGTCATTTTGCATGCAGGCCCTTCTCAATCTGTGTATATATATTTCTATATGTATGCCCAGACTGGTTTGTTCCACTCACATGAATGTGGAAGCTGCTGCAGCCAGATAATTCTGCGTGTAGAAGAGCTCCAATAACTGTAAACCAGTGATGGGCAACTCTGGTGAGTTTCTAGGCCCAGAAATATCAGAGGGAAAGGATGATAAAATTAAAAACTACAAGTGTCTGGATGCTTTGACTGCTAGGGTTTGGAATGGGTCATACACAGCGGGTCCCACCCAATATGATTTATGTAATAACCACCACTCATAGGTATCCAGGAGAAAGAGGGGAAATTATTTTTCTTTTGATTTTCCATCACCAGAAAACTACAGTGAAAAATGTGAGGGAAAACTGGAGTGGGCTGTACATGATCAGGAACATTTTTGCTATTTGTGAATGTGAGCCAAATAGAATATAATATAGGAGGCAGATGTTGTTGTTAAGTCATGTCCGACTCTTCGTGCCCCCATGGAGCACAGCACGCCAGGTCCTCCTGTCTTCCACTGCCTCCCAGAGTTGGGCCAAATTCATGTTGGTCGCTTCAATGATGCTGTCCAGCCATCTCGTCCTCTGTCGTCCCCTTCTCCTCTTGCCTTCACACTTTCCCAACATCAGGGTCTTTTCCAGGGAGTCTTCCCTTCTCACAAGATGGCCAAAGTATTGGAGCCTCAGTTTCAGGATCTGTCTTTCCAGTGAGCACTCAGGATTGATTTCCTTTAGAATGAATAGGTTTGTTCTCCTTGCAGTCCAGGGGACTCTCAAGAGTCTCCTCCAGCACCACAATTCAAAAGCATCAATTCTTCGGTGGTCAATTCTTCTTTATGGTTTGTCTTTCAACTGTTCATTTAAGAAGGCCCTTTTGTTTCTCCTTGCTATTCTTTGGAAGTCTGCACTCAATTTTCTGTAACTTTCCCTATCTCCCTTGCATTTGGTTTCCCTTCTCCTCTCTGCTATTTCTAAGGCCTCGTTGGACAGCCACTTTGCTTTCTTGCATTTCCTTTTCTTTGGGATGGTTTTTGTTGCTGCCTCCTGTACAATGTTACAGCCTCCATCCATAGTTCTTCAGGCACACTGTCCACCAGATTGAGTTCCTTAAATCTGTTCTTCACTTCCACTGTGTATTCATAAGGGATTTGGTTTAGATTATACCTGACTAGCCCAGCGGTTTTTCCTACTCTCTTCAGTTTAAGCTTTTTTTGCTATAAGAAGCTGATGATCAGAGCCACAATCAGCTCCAGGTCTTGTTTTTGCTGACTGTATAGAGCTTCTCCATCTTTGGCTTCAGAGAACATGATCAATCTGATTTCGGTATTGCCCATCTGGTGATGTCCATGTGTAGAGTCTCCTCTTGTGTTGTTGGAAAAGAGTGTTTGTGATGAGCAGCTTGTTCTGTTGACAAAACTCTATTAGCCTTTGCCCTGCTTTGTTTTGAACTCCAAGGCCAAACTTCCCTGTTGTTCCTTTTATCTCTTGGCTCCCTACTTTAGCATTCCAGTCCCCTATAATGAGAAGAACAACTTTCTTTGGTGTCAGTTTTAGAAGGTGTTGTTAGTCTTCATAAAATTGGTAAATTTCAGCCTCTTCAGCATCGGTGGTTGGTGCATAAACTTGGATTACTGTGATGTTGAAAGGTCTGCCTTGGATTCGTACTGAAATCATTTTTGAGATTGTATCCCAGTACAGCTTTTCCTACTCTTTTGAATCTTCTACGGGATTCTTGCCCACAATAGTAGATATAATTGTCTGAATTGAATTTGCCATTTCCCATCCAGAAGGCGGATAGAATAGATCAAATAACTTCTTTATTCTAAGAGTACGTTTCCCCTCCAAAGGACAAAAGGTGAAGGCGGATAGAATAGACCAAATAACTTCTTTATTCTAAGAGAAGTACGTTTCCCCTCCAAAGGACAAAAGGTAACTCAAGCTTACCTCCTGACTGAATCCTAAAAGTGTCCGTCATCATTTTCTCTCTCATTATGAGCCCAAGAGCTGCCTGACACAAAGCCACATGTGATAGCGCCTCTTTAGATGGAAAGAGTTCATCATAATGCTGAGGGATGAAGTTGGTGTGAATCCTTCCAGCTGCAAACTCTGGGTGGCCCGAGAGATTCAGCAAGAAGTCAACATTCGTACTTAGCCCTACGATCTGTTGAGAGAGGAGAACAAAAACATTATATTAATAAGAACAATTCATCAGAGGGCTTCTCTCCTATGTTCAAATAGGTAGAGGTTATGACAGTACTCTTCAAAATCAAACAGCTATGGTAGCACTGTTCCAAATCAAACCACACATTGCATTTCAAAGGAAGGCTCAGAACTGCTTTGGCATCATGGCAATGAAGCACAGCACCCAGACAGCTTCACTCTGGAGGGCAAGGAGGAAGTGTGCAAGACCAAGGTTTATTTTCAAAACACTACTTGTCACATTTACACTAGAGTTCCAATTACACTTACATTATATTGTTGAAGGCAATATCTTAATTTCCTTAATGCTGCTTGGCGATCCTCTGACCAAACAACTAGCTTAGCAATCATTGGGTCATAGTGTATAGAAACCTCATCCCCTGCAAAATAAATTGTATAGGAAAGTGATTTGCTTGAATGTGTTGCTTTAAGAAGAGAACCAATTCATACTCCTTCCTGTCCTTTAATCCAGGTATTTAAAAAACCCTCTGATCTATAGAAAGGGTAAATTCCCTCATAATAAAACACAGAATTCTGCCTGAAGGTACGTATCTACTAGGCATGACCACTGTCTTTGGACTGATATACAAAATCAAACCAAATCAAAGGTATCTGTACAATTCTGGGGCAATGAATTGTACAGATCGTTCGTATCCCATTTGGCATTTATAGTCTTAAAGACACTCAATGACTTCAATATCTATACGCAAGATAAAGGACAACATCAGGATGATACACAGTATAAATTATGACTATTAAGTGGTATACAGTTAAAACCACCAAAACATACAAATGAAATTAGAAGTAAAACTATTTCAAGGTTACAAATAAAGGTCAAAGCAAGAGATCATACCTTAAAAGCAGCAAATTTAAAACTAACGACTAAGGGGTGAAAACTACTCACTAATTTCTGAAACTAGAAATGTCTCTAAAACATGCTGTAGCACCAAAAATTAGAAACCCTAGCAAATATCCACATGGAGAATATTCTACAAATTTGGTACACCTCTGCTGGTGATAAAACTCATCTTCCCAATAATGTGTTTCTGGTTTACCTTGTCTTACCCCAGTTTCTATCCTGGTGCAGCTATCAGAGGGTGGTGTGGACAAATACAGCAAGGGTCCAGCCCCTGGCATAAAATTGTTGTTTGGATCCTCAGCATAGATCCTAGCTTCAAACGAATGTCCCTTGAGCTGTATCTCTTCTTGAGACAAAGGAATCTTATCTCCTGCAGCAATCTATAAGGAGAAGTTGTGCTTTTTTCAATTTTTGGAGCAAGAATGGAATCTCTTGACCAATGATATCAATGAATCACAGTTAAACAGGACTTCAAACTTCATTTTTACAAAGATCATCAACACAATGGCTGATATCCTGTTGCGCGTTTACGCAAACAGCTTAACGTTTAGACAAATTGCCTCAAGTTTAGAAATCCCTGTAGGCATTATCTTTTTACATGGTGAGTTGTGCTGCTCGTTATGTAACACTATGGAAATTCCTTAACTTAGGCAGCGAGCCACATAACTGTGCATCAGGGTTTCAGCCAATGGTTAGTTTTGCCATACATGTTTTGCATACTTAGAAATGCTACATTTATGCACTCAACAAACAGGTTACAATGTTGACTTCCACTCCCACGCTAAGGTGTACTGATCACCTCTCTCGATTATGAGTCTCTATATCTCTCTTTCTAAAGTCCAACTTTTCAAGCTTTCAGCTGTAATCCTCCCCAGATCTATGAACAGAATTCTGTATCGCAGATGACTGGTTAATCCTTCCTTGCCTGAGCTAGAATTCTGTATCGCAGATGATGACTGGTTAATCCTTCCTTGCCTGAGCCTTCCAATCTTTCCCAGGCCTAGCAAATTGCGAGTGTGTGCATGCATTCTGCACAATCATAGCTTAAATCAAGTTCATTTATCTCCCCATCCATTGCCCAGTCAGCTCAGACAGAAAGAAAGATAATTAACTAACCAGGTGTAAAAAGAAAGCCCCTTGCATAGAATGCTGCTACCTGGTATTTAAGTAGCGATTCCTGCCTTTTCAATACTAAGTTCTCACCTTAAGCTGCCATTCTACCAAGTCAGTCCCTGTGATCATCTCCGTAACTGGGTGCTCCACTTGCAGCCTGGTGTTCATTTCCATGAAATAGAAATTATGTTGACTATCCATTATAAATTCCACTGTTCCTGAAAATATTGAAGAGTACAGTTCAAAGATGTGGGGATGCTTTCTCTGATCTTCAGGTAAATATATGGTGCTCTCCATATATTTTGAGGCCATGCTGGTAGGGGATTCTGGGAGCTATGTTCTGAAATAAAATACCGCTGGGAGTTGCAGGAACAGCCAAAAAAGTTCACAGTTATAACTTGACGATTTTGATCAGAGACACGTCAAAATATCAAAGAGAGAAATTAAAGCAGCCCTACTACAACAATGCTTATTTTTCTAAATAAGGGTAAAATGTTTCAACATGAAATTTATTTATTACAATATTAAAAGGAAGTTAAATCTGTAGTACCTGCTCCAACATAGTTTACAGCTTTAGCAGCCTTAACGGCCGCCTCTCCAAGCTTTCTTCTCACTTCAGGTGTAATTCCTGGCTAAGAATAATAGAAATATTTTTACATTTACACAATGAAGCATTGTACTCCTGCATATGTACTATACGCATCTGTTAACTACCCCGTTTCCCTGAAAATAAGCCCTACCCCCAAAATAAGCCCCAGTTAAGTGAAACCCTGCCCTCCACCATTGTGCCGCATTGTGCAGCAACCAGAAGAAGGTGACATGACTGTAAAATAAAACATCCCCTGAAAATAAGCCTTAATGCGTTTTCTGGAGCAAAAAATTAATATAAGACCCTGTCTTATTTTCGGGGAAACATGGTAACTTGCAAAACGTATCTAAAATACGGAAATACTGGACAACACCAGCAATCATTACGTCAGACTGCAGAGGGAAGCCACTGAAATCCACAAGCAGCAGAAAAACTTCAATAAAAAAGAGGAAAGTTTGAAACTCAACAAAACTTGGCTCCCAGCTCTCAAAAATACAGCATGCAAAAGGTCACAAACTCTACCCAACCACAAGGTCAAGGGGATCACCACCATCAACCACAGTGACAGACAATCTCCTTATCACAACAATACACACACAACAAAACACACTAATCACCCATCCACAGAAAACAATACACCCACAACAATACACACTAATCATCCCATCTCACAGCCATAAATACTCCACGCCCTAGCCAAACTGCACAAGAGCACAGTTTGCTGTCCTCTGAAGATGCCGGCCACAGAGACTGGCAAAACGTTAGGAAAAACCACCTTCAGAACACGGCCAAGAAGCCCGAAAAACCCACAACAACCATTATCTAAAATCCTCTAATTTTTACATGTAGATCATTAGACTCTATACCCCTACAGTAATCTCTGCAAAATGAGCTTGACAGAAAGAAAATAATCTAACTGGGCGCTGGCAATCTCAAAGGCTGAAAGAGAAAAAATATTAAATTCCTTTAATTCTATTCATTTATTCATATATTTATACCAGTCTTCTGATACTGCCTTTCACTAAGCATTACTAAGAAATGTGCAAGAGAAACTACCACACTACCAGAAATAATGCCAAAAAAGAAACTACAGCCACAATTCACAAGGCCAAATATCAACTACAGGTAAGAAATGCTACCAGAAGCCTGGGTGTATAAATGAATGTTCAAGTAGTGCTGAAAAAGTGAAGATGTGAGAGCGGTCAGAGTTCAAGTGCCTTTCACTAAGCATTACTAAGAAATGTGCAAGAGAAACAACCACACTACCAGAAATAATGTAGTGTGTTTACCAGTACATTCAAATAATAATATAAAACAGCCAAAAAAGAAACTACAGCCACAATTCACAAGGCCAAATATCAACTACAGGTAAGAAATGCTACCAGAAGCCTGGGTGTATAAATGAATGTTCAAGTAGTGCTGAAAAAGTGAAGATGTGAGAGCGGTCAGAGTTCAAGGAAGGGCCACTTGCATAAGGCATGTGGCATCACAGACAAGCTTTTTACTTGCTTGCTGCCACATGTACCTTTCAAAACCGGCACAACCAGTTTTGGATGCAAACATATGGACAAAAATCTTAACGTACGCAGACCATTCCAAGTGGAATGTAGTTGTTGTACCTCTTAGCCATGGTTAAAAATTTAAATGCTTTTTAAAAGTGTTTCAGATTGATTTAGAATATTTAATTGTTTTATATTCTTCTAAAAGAAATATACTGATTGTACCCTCTCTGAGATCTGCCAATAAAGGGCAAATTCCAACACGGACAAGAGAACAAGATGGCATTAACACCGCATGTGAACATAAAATAGCTTTTAAAAAAAGAAAGCAAAAATGAACTTTTCAGAACCTGCCCACTTACCCCTGGCGCTTCTTCAATTATTTTCTGATGCCTTCTCTGTACACTACAGTCTCTTTCAAACAGATAGACTGCATTGCCAAGTGTGTCTCCAAATACCTGTACTTCTACATGCCTGTTTTAGATTATAAAAATAAACACATCAAGGATCATGCAAGTCAAAACTGTACCCATTGGCACCAATTCAGATGCAATAATCTAACATGGTACTTTGTAGCAATCCATTGTATATTACATGCTGTAATCTTATTTTTCAGATATGGAAATGATGTGTACTTAAACAGCATCAGCTGTACAGCAGATAATATTGTATTCAAAGTGAGTTAAAGTCTGTTTGCTAATGCAAACATTTATCAAGAACGTGATTGTTTAACATAGAAGTAATTTACCAAAGAAATCCAGAATTCCTTTATTTCAATTCAAGAGACTAAACTGCCTCATTTTTACAATATCAAATAATATCAAATATTATATGCTGGAAAGAGAATTAATCCCACACCACTCATTAAAAAAAGGAAATATGCTAAATGTGTGTACCTTAAAATACAGCATATTTGTTTTAAATAAGTAGCTCAGTGTTAAACTCAGCACTCAGAATGCAATACTGAGGTTTATACAGTGGTGCCTCGCTTAACGATTTTAAGTGGTTCCAAAAAAAACATCGCTATGGGAAAACATCGCTAAGCGAAACACATTTTCCCATAGAGATGCATTGAAAACCGGATAATCCGTTCCAATAGGAACGGATTGCCGTCCTTAAGTGAAAATCGCCATAGGAAACATCGCTAAACGATACAATGTTTCCCCCATTGGAATGCATTGAAGCCCTTTCATTGCTTTTCTATGGTTTTGCGATATCTGTTTTTGCAATTTTTAAAGTGTCTTAAAATGTTCAAAAACTGTTTTAAATGCTAGGAATTGTTAGTGCACCTTGTAAAACGTGTGCAAACTTACTTTGGCTTTGTTCTGACTCTTCGTTAATTTTTGGTGAATTTTATTTTCTCCCCCATTGGAATGCATTGAACCCGATTTTGACAGCTGTCAAATGGGCACTTCAATGCATTCCAATGGGGGGAGAAAAAAAATTCACCAAAAATTAACGAAGACTCAGAAACTGTTTTAAATGCTTGGAATCGTTAGAGCACCTTGTAAAACGTGTGCAAACTTAATTTGGCTTTGTTCTGAGTCTGGCTTTGTTCTGAGTCTGGCGAATTTTTCCCCCCCATTGAAATGCATTCAACCCGATTTTGACAGCTGTTTGCTGGCACCCTTCTTAAATTCTGGTGTCTAGAATTGGACATAGTACTTTAGATGAGGCCTAGCCAGTGCTTAATAGAGGGGGGGCTAGTGCCTCATGGAATATGGAGACTATACTGATGTTAATGCATCCTAAAATAGCACTTGGCTCTTTTCCAGTTATGTTCACACTGTTGGCTCATACCGTTTTCCTGAAAATAAGACTTAACCTGAAAATAATCTTACAATAAGTATGATTTTTAAGGATGCTCCTAATATAAGCCCTACCCCAAAAATAAGCCCCGGTTAAGTGAAACCCTGCCCTCCACCCTTGTGCAGCATTGTGTGGCAACCAGAAAATGGCATGACTGTAAAAGAAAACATCCCCTGAAAATAAGCCCTAATGTGTTTTTGGAGCAAAAATTAATATAAGACCCTGTCTTATTTTTGGAGAAACACGGTACTAAGCTTTTGATCTACAACAA